TCCCCAGCCCTTCATTAGATTCTTAAAGTGGTCTGTGAACAAAAAAAAAAGTGTTAAGAATTTATACTTTGAACTTTGGAAGTAGAGCCACATGTATAGCACAACTTGTTTGTTTTGGTTTAAATTTTTCCTTTTTGATTAAAAATTATACATGTGCTTTGTTATATAAAACTCAAACATTACTCGTAGAATTAATGTAAAAAGTGAGCCATATCCCAGTTAATTTCCACCAAATCCCACACACATTTTCAAAATATTTTTCATTTTACATCCACTAACATTTTTCTTTGTCCTTCTTTCTTCAAAAGTTTCTTTATAAAAGATATTATAATGTATATACTACTTTACAACCCTTCTCAATTTATTTTGAATACTTCGGTGCTTGTTGATCTACCTCATTATTTTTAACAAGTGCAAAGTATTTATGGATCTACCATAGTTTGGTTAATTTTTCTTTCATCAATGAGCTCAGGAGTTGTTTCTGCCTTTTGTGTATTGTAGACTAGTATAATGAACATATTTTTTTAAGTATATTTTTGCAAATTTAGAAGTATTTCACTAAAATAAATTTCTATACGTAGAAATAGGTGGTTAATGTTATAAATATTTAAAAATTTGGCCAGGTATGGTGGCGTACACCTATAATCCCAGCAACTTGAGAGGCTGAGATAGGTGGATCCCAAGTTCAAGGTCAGTTTCAGCAATTTAGCAAGGCTCCAAGCAATTTAGTGAGACCCTGTATTAAGATAAAAAGGGCTGGATAGGTAGTGTAGCTCACTGGTAAAGTGTTTCTGAGTTCAATCCTCAGTACCTCCCAATTTTTTAAAAACATTTTTAAATTTTTTCTAGTTATACATGACCAAAAATTTTTTAAATAGACACTGTCAAATGTCTATTACAGTACTAAAAGAAGGACCTGTTTATATTCCCATGTATATTATAACAAAAATTTCTGAAGATGTTTTCCAGTCAAAGAATTAGGTAATTCTTTATTAACCCGCACGATGAAAGATATTCTTATGCTGTGAAAGATTTTAAACAGACATGATATTGAACCTTTACATATTCATCATCCAGGCTCAACATTTATCTAGATTTTTGCCTCATTTGCTTCAATTACCCTCTTTTCCTTCCTTCCTTCCTTCCCTTCCTCCTCTTCCTCATCGTCTTCCTCCTTGTTCTCTTCCTCTTCCTCCTCTTTTTTGGTGTTCTTGAGAGTTGAACTCAGTGCTTTACCACTGAGCTTCATCCTCAGACCTTTCATTTTTTTGAGACAAGAATTTTTCCAAGTTGCTTAGGTTCTCACTAAATTGCTGCAGCTGACTTCAAACTTATATTGTCCTGCCTCAGCCTCCCAAGTCATTACAGGTGGGCACGTCCTTTTTCCCTTTCAATAAAGTGTTTATTAATTTATTTATGGTACCAGGAATTGAACCCAGCAGCACTTAACCACTGAGCCACATCCTTAGGCCTTTTTTATATTGTATTTAGAGACATGGTCTCACTAAATTGCTTAGGGTCTCCCTAAATTGCTGAGGTTGGATTTGAACTTGGGATCATCTGGCCTCAGCCTCCAGAGCAGCTGGGATTACAGGTGTGTACCACCATGCTTGGTTCAATAGAGAGTTTTTTTTTTTTGAGAGAGAGAGAGGTTTTTTTAATATTTATTTTTTAGTTTTCGGCAGACACAACATCTTTGTTTGTATGTGGTGCTGAGGATCGAACCTGGGCCGCATGCATGCCAGGCGAGCCTGCTACCGCTTGAGCCACATTCCCCAGCCCTCAATAGAAAGTTTTAAAGCAAATCCCCCAACTCATGTTATACCATTTCAAAAAAAATTAGTTTTTTAGTTCAGACGATTTCAAACATATTTAAAAGCAGTAAACACAATCTGCCTATTTAGTATGGTCTTTGTAATATTCACCATTTTAGACTTAAAGCCAATTTTAAACTACACTCTTTTAAAATGATGCCCCTAAAAATCAGAAAGGAGTACTTTATTGATCTTAATATTGGCTCACATTCTGTTTAAGGAGCATGAGACAATGAAACATTTCAACAGTTAGTAATTCATAGCTGGTGTTGGTTTACTCTTACCTACTTCCCTTTATGTCACCAGATTATTTTGAAACAAGTTGAATATATTATAATACTTCATTTGTAAATATTTCTCTCCCTTTTTCTATAATTTAAAAGACAAGGACTTCCCTTTCAGTGACAATCACAGTGCTACCCTATTGTCACACTTGCACAAAATAATTTCTTAATGTCATTAAATATCTATGAACTTTTTTAATATAATCACAGTGCCACCATAATACCTAATAAAACCAAGTGTAATGAACTAGTGCCCTGTTCATAGTCAGATGTCCCTGACTGTCTAAAAAAATGCTTTTTAGAGTTGATTTGTTAGAATTGATTCATGCGTTGCATGCCATTATTGGATCTCTCAAGACTCTTTTTAACCTGGACTAGCCTTCCTACTCTAGTCCTCTGCCATTGACAGGTTGCAGAAACTGAGTCAGTTATCCTATATGTAATGTCTCACATTCTCTATTTGTATTTGTTCTTTTTTTCTTTTTTTTTTTGTAGTGTCATTTAATTTTCTGCTTTATCTCCCATATGTCTTGTAAGTGGAAGTTGGCTCTAGAGACTGGGTGTTATTCAAACTCAACTTGTTTGAGAAGAGTATTTATGTCATAAATGGTGCTGTGTGCTTCACGTGTCTCACAGTGTCTGATTTTTCACTTTTGGTGATAGTAAGATTGAGAAGGATATAATAATTTGATCTCTAAGTGGAAAATATCCCATCAAGAGTCATTTATTTTGGGCTGGGGTAGTAGCTCAGTGGTAGAGCGCTTGCCTTGCATGCATGGGGCACTGGGTTCCATCCTTAGCACCACATAAGAAAAATAAATAAAATATTGTGTCCATCTACAACTAAAAAATAATAAAAAAAGAGTCAGTTATTTCAGCAGATACCACAAGATGTTTTTTCCTAGTTATTCACTTTGTTTTAATAATAAAATTAATTGCCTTTATTAGAGAACTGGAACATCTTTTCATATGCTTATTGGCTAATCAGAATTTATTTTGTGAATTGTTCATGTCATTGTGTGATTTTTTTTTCTATTGAATTGCTTTTGTGTTCATTTTTTTTTGTGTGTGTATTTGTGTATGTGTGTGTGTGGTGCCATTTTTGAGAGGTTTGTATCATAAATAATAATCTTTTGTCTGTTTTAGATAAGTATTTTTTCCTGTTTCTTATTGTTACATAGAAGCTTTTGATTTATATAGACAATTTTTGTTCTTTTATAGCTTTAGTTTCAAGTCTTACTTAGATATGCTTTCTCTGAGATAATGTAGGAGAATAGTTAATTTTCTTCCAGATTCCTTTCTTTACTTTTGATTTTTGTGTGAGTGGGGGTTGGGGTGCTGGGGATTGAACCAGAGCCTTGAATATGCTAGGCAAGCACTTTACCACTAAGTCACACCTCCAGTGTGATTTTTTCCACATTTGATTTTTAATGTATTTGAAATATATTTTGTATATGGTGTAACATAGTAATCAGATTTACTTCCTGTGTTTAAAAGTGAATTTTTCCTTAAGCAACTTTATTTATTTTTTAAAAGTACCAGCTTTTTGTCAGTTTTTTGAATTGTTTCTTTTGTTTCAATTTCATTAATTGAAGCCCTGATTTTAATTATTCCTGCCTTCTACTTTTGGTGTTGATTATTCTTCTTTTTCTAGGGCTTTAAGATGTAATGTCAGGTCATTTATTTGTAGATTTTTTATTCTTTTAATGAATGAGCTCAGTGCAATGAATCTTCCTCTTAACACAGTCTTCATAGTGTCCCAGAGATTTTGATATGTTGTATTAGAGTTCTCATTTACCTCTAAGAATTTTTTTTTATCTCCTCCCTGATGTCTTCTGTTATCCATGCTTCATTCAATAGTTATTGTTTAGTCTTCAGGTATTCGAGTAGCTTCTATTTTTTATTTTATCATTGAGTTCTAGTTTAATTTCATTATGGTCTGATAGAATGCAGGGTAGTATTTCTATTCTTTATATTTGTATTGGCTAAGACTTGGTTTGTGGCATAACACGTGATCTATTTTATAGAAGGATCCATGTGTTGCTGAGAAAAAAGTGTATTTGCTTGTTGATGGATGAGATATTCTGGGGGCTGGGGATGTGGCTCAAGTGGTAGCACACTCGCCTGGTATACGCACGGCCTGGGTTCGATCCTCAGCACCACATACAAACAAAGATGTTGTGTCCGCCGAAAACTAAAAAATAAATATTAAAAAAGAGAGATATTCTGTATATGTCCTTTAAGTCTAAATTATTGATTGTATTATTGAGTTCTGTGGTTTCTTTGTTTAGTTTTTGTTTGGAAGATCTATCCAGTGGTGAGAGAGGTGTGTTAAAGTCACAAGGCATACAGTTAAATGTCTGTTTTAACTTAAAAGATATAAATATATATGTTTATTTTTTATCTATTCATTAATACAATAAGTTAGAAGTAATTGATATATGAATTGAAAATGTAAATTCTTTGGAATGATCATTGTATTTTTATAGGTTATAAAGGAAAGAAGCAACAGTACTTGAAAGTAATAAATTGCAGTTCAAAATATAAATTCTGTGATGAGATTTTCTTTTGGAACATAACCAGTATCGTCTTAGGAAAAATATCCCTGAGTGCCATTTTTTTTTCTCAAGGCCAATTAGAACTATATTCTTTTGGGACCAGTGTGAGGCTCAGTTGTAGAGTGCTTGCCTAGCATGCATGAGGCTCTGGGTTTGATCCTTAGCACTGCAAAAAGAAAAGGGAGCAACTTATTCTTTTAACTTGGTGCCTTAAAAATCATGAAGAAGGACCATATTGACTTTATTGGCCAGTATTTTGTTTATGAATATTGGGAATGGAAGTAATATATTGTTGACCAGTTGGATATCACTGTTAATTTTTTTCTTTTTTTTTTTCATTACAGGTTTTGCAAAAGGCATCAGATTAAATCAAGTTCAAATATTCCCTGTGTTCCCAAAGACTTATTGATGATGTCTGAATTTGTTCTTCCAAGATTTATTTTTTGTCTTATTCAGTACTTAAGAGATGGCTATAATGAACCAGGTGTGTTTCAAACTATTCCTTGCTAGTACTCTTTATAAGTTCCTAGTTCACAAAGTTTTACATGAATAATGTGATGAATTTTTTTAGACATTATTGTTTTTGTTTACCATTATAAAAGAGATGACTAAATACAGAGACTGAATAAAAACACTAGAATAAATGATATTACTATAGATACCTTGTAGTAGTCATGGTTTGGTGTCAAAATGTTTTTGATCAAACTTATTTGACCTTTTGCAAATGAAGAAGTAGTCTATTTTATGGGGTTAAATTCACTTTATTTGTAATCATATTAGGATAGAGCAGAATTAAGATGCCCTGGAAATGTTTGAATTTAATTTATATTTTTAGATGATAAAAGCATTGTATTTTTTTCTTTCTGGTAGAAGTCTATATATTGTAATTTTTATTCACCTTCATATATTTTATATAATAATTTATAATAGGGTCACATTGCTCATTTCCATATTACTGGTAAAATGTGTGGGTATACGTATCATGTTAGTATTAAAAAGAGAAAAGAAACATTCAAATTATGGGTATTCATTAAAGATTTTTTGGGTGCTGGGAATTGAACTCAGAGGCACTCAACCACTGAGCCACATCCCAGCCCTATTTTGTATTTTATTTAGAGACAGGGTCTCACTGAGTTGTTTGGCACCTCACTTTTGGTGAGGCTGGCTTTGAACTCTCTATCCTCCTGTCTCAGCCTCCTGAGCCACTGGGATTGCAAGCATGGGCCATCATACCTGGCTCTTTTTAAAAATATTTTTTTGGGTGTCAATGACCTTTATTTTATGCATTTATATGTGATGCTGAGAATTTAACCCAGTGCCTAACACATGATAGGTAAGAGCTCTACTACTGAGCTACAACCCCAGCCCGCTACAATCTTGATTAATACATTTTAGTTAAATATTTAGATTTTGTTATCTATTAAAGTTCTTAGTCTGATGTGAATTAGAGATTATCAGTGATGTAAAATGAATTTATTAACTTTTAATGTCTTTTATATACATTTTTTAAAATTAACTTTAACTTTTTTGTTTATTTTATTTGCTGTGCTGGGGATTGGACCCAGGACTGAGCCATATCCAACCCTTTTAATTTTATTTTGAGGCAAGGTTAGTAAGTTGGCCAGGCTGGCCTTGAACTTATTATCCTGCCTCAGCCTGTTGAGTCTCTGGGATTATAGGCATGTGCCACCATGCCTGGCTTGTTTTTCATTAAAAAATATATATTTTTTAATGAAAAAAATATTTTTTTTATTGGTGCTGGGGATTGAACCAGGAGTATACAATCTTTTGTTAAGTACTTCTGCTTCTCTCAGAATATATATCTTATAATACAGAAAAATATTATTTTGATTTAGTCCCAGACTACTGTTTCTTTGAGGTAACAGAACCAGATACCAGCTACCAGCTGGGTTATTGAGATTTCCTTTATTTTTAATTTTTTTGATACTGGGAATTGAACCCAGGGGTGTGCTACCATTGAATTACATTCCCAGCTTTTTAAAATTTGAGATAGGTTATCACTAAGTTGCTTGCATTTTTCTCATAAACTAGTTAACAGATTTTTTTGGAATTTACCTTTTATATTACCAGTGTTCTATTTCGGAAATGTAATAGGTTTAAGTAATTATGAGAACCTTAAAATTTAGTTTAGTCAATGACTACTTCACATAAAAGTATACTATTGGTGATATTTAGCAGTTAAAAAGGTAGATCACATAAGTATATAGCTGTGATAATCATCTGTTACCATTATTTGAAAACACGAATGAGTAGGAACACTTTTTGTATAAAGATGAGGAAGAGCATGAGAAGAAGATTAACATTAAACAGGGATGAGAGGTGGGAAGGAAAGGGAGAGAGAAGGGAAATTGCATGGAAATGGAAGGAGACCCT